AAACCTTGTGGACAGCCTTCCCAGAAGAGTTGAAGCTGTTCTAGCTGCAAAGGGTGGACCGACGTCATATTGAACCCTATGGATTAGGAACGGGATGTCATTTAAGCTCGTATGTGAGTCAAGGCAGGTGAGCAAATACTTTTGGCAATATAGTGTATGTCAGTATAGGTAAGGTGGAAAAGGTGGAAGGTTAATAATATAGTTTTTAATGTTGAAACTGAGAGAAAATACAGTAGCAGCCATTCAAAATGGCCCTTCCCAGTCAAACGCCAACCGAATGGCAGCCCATTACCCTGCAACTGTCAGCAAAATCCCCTCCAACTTCCAGCCACTGCAGTGACCCCTCTTTTACTCTTATTCCACCCTTTCACTGAATTATGGCTGATTTATAGTCAGAAACCAGGTCCCCTGCGTGCGGTTCGCAATCAACGCATATATGCCCCCCCACCTCCGCAAACACTGCTGCACCTCCCCAAAATGGTAGCTCACCACAGTCAGTGCTGCAGACAGGAGTCCTCTGATTGGTCAGATCTCCATCCGCCCTACACTATGCGTATTTCCTGTTTGGTTCCTTACCGGCTTGTTTTGTTTGTCTGACTGCCATTGTGGAAACGACTGGTGAAGATGGAGCAGCTAGAAGAGCGAGGTGCGCGAGAACGCTGGGACACTTTTTCCACCTGGATATCCGTTCTTTTTGGCCCTCATCTTCCTCCGTTGTTGTACAACCTTGCTCCTACCTCCTTACCGCCTCGGCCGTATCTAGACCCACAGCGAGTTCCTGATTGGCCCTCTGGTGTTGTGGCGTGAAATAACATAGCACAGACCATACTTCAATATTGGGCAGAAATAAAAAAAAACTACAACAAGCTCACTGCGACACACTGCTGCATAACCAGCCCTTTACAGGACTAACAACGAGATGGCACTTCCGCTTAGATCCTAATGTCCACAAATTATAAAGAAAGCATATTTTAGTACAAATATTGATGTTTTAAAAGTAATTTTAGGAGACCAGCCAAGTGCCCTTCAAGGAAGGTGGGGAAATTTTGAATGACTACTACTGTACGCACACATGGACCATTGACCAATAGGGGTGTAATATGGGAAAAGGAAAAATGCTGAGTGGATAAAAGGTTAAGAAATAAATAAATAATACATTCCATCCAAGCTGTCGTGTCTCAAACTCCTACACAGAATTTCTGCTCACTTTTTCCCTTTTTCCATCAAACTAAGACAATGTTTATTATTTTTAATGAATTTATTATCTTTGGGCTCACTACTTCTTACTTTTGTGCACTTTCAGGTTCTGGGTTATTACAACCGACGAGGGATTAACCCTGAGGCCTTTCTTAAAGAAATCCGGTTTATTGCCAGTGACCCTGATGAGGAGCACTTCTTCAAAGTTACAGATGAATCTGCTCTGAAAGATATTGTAGACGCCCTGGGAGAACGAATTTTCTCTTTGGAAGGTCAGCTAGCACGACATTTCCTTTGGTTTATGTTTTTTTTTTCTTGTAGGTAAACAGTGTTTTATCTATTTTCTGTGTGGTTTATAGGCATTAGCAGTCAGGGTCGGGGCTTTGGTCTACAGATGGCTCAAGCTGGTTTTTCATCACTTTTAGTCAACGTAAGTGGCTCTTATTAAGATTTAGCTAATCTTTTCTGAAATATAACCAACTTTATCACTGGTGACGTTGTTGACAGATTGATTAGCTGAGCAGCAGTTAAAATGGACAACACTTACCTTTTCACCTCAGCTGATGTTTTTTAAGGATGGATTATAACCACAATCATTGGCTTATTTCCCATTGGTCAGCTCCAAATGAGTTGGAGGTGAATGTGTTTATAAGAAATGACCACCAGAGACCTGCAGATGTTCCTCTCTACATTTTTATATTTGTATCTATCTGACCGATCTCAGTTTTCACGTTAATGATAAATCTTCCTCAAGGTCCAGATTTACCTGCGGACAGAATCTGTTAGTTTAATCTC